AGGCGCGAGGCGGGGCGAGGCGAGCAACAGAAAAGGCGGGCAGCCGCAGCCCAAAAGTCCCGCCCCGCCACCTCCTGCTGTTGCCGCCGCCACCACCGCTGCTGCTTCTGCCCCCGCCGCCGCCGCCACCGCTGCTGCATTTGCAGGAGGAGAGGTAGGCGCGAGGCGGGGCGAGGCGAGCAACAGAAAAGGCGGGCAGCCACAGCCCAAAAGTCCCACCCCGCCACCTCCTGCTGTTGCCGCCACCGCCGCCACCGCTGCTGCTTCTGCCGCCGCCGCTGCCGCCGCCGCTGCTGCTTCTGTCCCCGCCACCGCCGCTGATGCTGCTTCTGCCCCCGCCGCCGCTGCCACCGCTGCTGCATTTGCAGGAGGAGAGGTAGGTGCGAGGAGGGGTGAGGTGAGCAACAGAAAAGGGCAGCCACAGCCCAAAAGTCCCGCCCCGCCACCTGCTGTTGCCGCCGCCACCGCTGCTGCTTCTGCCCCCGTCGCCGCTGCCGCCGCTGCTGCTTCTGCCCCCGCCACCGCTGCCGCTGCATTTGCAGGAGGAGAGGTAGGCGTGAGGCGGGCGAGCTTTCTTCCCCCCCTCCCCCCACCCCGCAAAATTTGGCCGGAAAATTAATAAAAAATAAATAATTTGCAGGAGGAGAGGTAGGCGCGAGGCGGGTGAGCTTTCTTCCCCCCCTCCCCCCCCACCCCGCAAAATTTGGCTGGAAAATTATAAAATAAAAAATAAATAATTTTTAATAAATAATTAATAATAAATAATAAAAATAATTTTATTTTATTTTATTATTTTATTAATTATTTAATTTAATTTAATTTAATTATTTAATTATGTGCAGCCCAAACCAAATTTTCATCTTCTAATGTGGCCCAGGGAAGGTGAAAGGTTGGACACCCCTGATTTAGAGCAATGTTTCTTAACCTTTCCACTTTTAAAAAAATATAGAGGTCCTCAAAAAGTTTTTGTTTGCATGGACTATTATTTACCAATGTTCACCATATTAAAAATTAAAATTGATGCATTTGCTGATGCTACCTATTCTCACAATTAGTCAATGGGATTTTAATATTCTTTTTCAGAATAGGCTGGCAAATTGCTTTTGTGGATCTCTAAGACGGTCTTGGGGTACTCCCAGAACTCTTAGGATCACAACACCTTTCTTCAGAGAAATCAATTTCATTTTCATGAAGTAGAACAGGGATGTTAAACTCGCGGCCCATGGGCCGGATGCATCACACAGGCCATGTTCACGTCCGGTTTAGCGAAGGGGAGCAAAAGTCACGATATGTCATGTGACGCTGCCATGATGACATGAGTTTGACACCCCTGAGCTAAAATTTCTTCAGCAATGATGGAATATGAAAGGCTGATGGAAAATAATGGAAATTGCTTCCCCTCTGAAACACCATCTTTTTATCTCTGCTTGTTTACTTATTAAGGAAAGTCATCTGAATTTTAACTTCTTTTAGACTGCTGATGGATTTAGATTCTGGCTATCCCTTTGATACATGTTGACCTGGAGTAGATAAACTGGACTTCTTGAGAGATATGGACTAGAGAAATAATTACATGAAGTTTGTTAGGAGCCTTCATTTGGTTCTTGAAAAACACTAGATGTAACTGCATCAAAAATAGCTTATGTCTGCAAACACTTTAGAACTAGTGAATCATGCATATCTATCTGTTTTGCAGTTTGCACAGCTGAGACTAGAGTGCTACTCATTACTTTTATTTCTGGTTTCCTAAAATGCCACAATTCTAAGACTGCTTCATCTCCACTTTTATATTTAAACATGTTTTCTTCTCTTCTAGCCAGCACATTTTATAAATTTTGAATTTGTTAATGGCATCATTAAGTTCAGATGTACAGTTTGCATTTTAACTACTGGAGAAGATCATTCGCAACTGTGTTTAATGCTGCTGTAAAAAATAGCAGCCTGATTTTACCTCTTTTCTGAAGCCTAACAAATAGCTGTTTAAGTTTTTCTACAGAAATTAATGTCAATCATTTTAGTATATACACCTAAGAGATTAGAGAGCAGAGTTTTGTATATGGCAAAGCTAAATATATTTTATGTGATTTAGTATTTGCTTTCAACTTTTTTAAAAAGTGCAAAGAATATTTTTGGAGTGATGCTAATTTTAAATGTAAATTTACAATAAATTGTAAAAAATACATTGTATATAACAGTATAGAAAAGTGAATATATTTGTTGTACATATTATGACAGTAGAAACTATTTTGTGAGTCTTTGTGTTTTTAGCTCTTATGGCTATGATGCTCATGAAAAGAGGAATATGGGTGATCTCAGAAGTTCTTTGATATCATTTTACAGCTATCATTAGAATGGTTTTTAGTTTCCCTGTTTCAGCTATAAAATAGGGTAATCATTCATCATGGGTTAGTGCTTTTAGACCTGTCCATTCAGGAAAAGATAAGATAGTATCAACTTTCAAACTTAGTTAATTAAAGCTTTTAAGTGCATTATGAATGAAATGTCAAAAGATGACACTCGCTAGGGGGAAAGATCTGTAAGTGATGTGGACAGTGATTTGGTGTTTTTGGAAGTGAATCTTTAAAAATATGAAGCTGTGTATAAGAAACGGGCATTTTCTTAGCATAGAGTATATGAAATAATTCCCATTATACAGCATTGGTGAATATAGATGAAGAGAATAAAAGGATATAAAAAAGTTAACATGGCAAAGTAAAACTTGTCTAGCTTGTTAAACTGCAAACTAAGTTAATGTTGTCACAAGGATTATAAACAGGTTACAGGCTACTTCCCCTAAAGCACTCTCACTTTTGCATAAATTGCACACAAAAATTTGTAATATTGCTATGGTATAGTCAAGAGAATCACAGATAGTTTGAAAAATACTGTAGATTCTGACTTAAATGTTCTTACACACTGAAAAGAATCCCTGAGCTTATGGGTGGATGTAAAATGGGGGGGGCGGGCAGGAAAAATGAATGTAAGGTTCAGCCTAAACAAAAGTTGTATGCATGATGATAAATCATTCCAGGTAACATGTGGGTGTGCACACAGGTACATTTATGCTTTCAAGTAAGCTTTGATTCTGGTGACTACATGAACAAGAGTAGGGTATTTTTTGATAAGATTTTTAGAAGTACTTTGGCATTGTCTTCTTCATAGGATTCAGGGAGTGACCTAGCTGACTAAGGAAGGATAGAATTTATTGTTTCCCAGTTTCTACTAGTCATTGAATTCTTTTCCTGTTGACAGAGATCTACCCTTTACTGTCTACCTACTGATTTAACCTTAGCCCTGGGTGATAGTTTTTCATCTGCTGAATTTATTGTAGTAATTGGATACTGGGGGAATATGACTGGGGGCTGGAATAGAGAATCTAAGGATTCTTCCAACTCTATAGACAGCTGAGGTATTGGCATATTTAGAGTTACCTTTGGTAAGGCGTGGGGTACAAATTACATTCACAATAGAACAGACTGTAAATATGAAATATTTTTGATATGTATATTTTATCTTTTTTTTAGGCCCGTATAGGCTAAAACATGGTTTAAACATAGTTTACTAAAGTAGCCCAGTTCACAATACTATCACATGGCTTTTAAAACACAATAATTGGCTTTACACAGAAGTGAAGAAATCATATTGGGAATATAACATATCAGGCACCCTTGCTTAAATTGAGTTCTCAGTCTTGGCATCTATTCTGATATTTTCCATATGCATCTGTATTAGCAACATCGATTAATATGAAAACAAAACAAAATTAACAAAACTAAAGCATTTACAAGTTCAGGAGGCAAAGGAAATAAGTGAAATTCAGGCTCCAAACCACAGGTGTTAGTAATATATCTACGTATGTTTTTTAAAAAAGGGCTTTCTATTATAAAGAAAATGGGATTTGTTTCTAAGAACAGGAAAAAAAATTTTTTTTAAAGTACTTGATTTCAGTTTGTTTATGCTGTGATCTAACAGTGCAAACGTAAATTAGTCAAAAATATGTGAAAATTATTTTCTCAAATGTTTTCAAAGTGTACACTAGGGGGTGCAGGTGTACTGCAATTTTTCTACAATATTAAAATTAATGCCTAAATATATATTTGTTTGCTATCTTTAAAATGACCTTTTCCCGATCGTTTTCTGCAACTCAAGACAGAATTGTTATGAATCCTGTAGTGTGCAAAATCACTCTTAAAGATATTTTCATTCCAGGTAATATTTAATGTTACTTACCATAGAGGTCATGTGATTAGATAGTATGGAAGTATTCTGAGCTCATACAGCTAGGGCTTTGTAAATTAAGGAAAATGTCCCAAATTCAAGCAGTAGTTACATTCTCAGGAAAATGAAGCTGATATGCAAGCTCATTTCAAAGTTCAAAGCTCGTTTATCATAGTGGTTACCTAGTTTCTATATTTTGAAAAATATTGTGTTTCCCAGGATCACAACTTGAAAACCAATATTTCACTAATCAACTTGTGCATCTAACTGGATACCAGCTTTCCTATGAAAACCCACCATAGAGTTTTCAAGCTATCTGATATTTACGTGCATTGAATTGTGGGCTTGGGAAAATGACATCTGCTTCTGGAATCATGCCAAGTGGCTACCCGACAAAGTGACCTCTTCCAGCTCTGGACAGCTTCAAAAGGTAAATGAGGAGGGTATGCAGCCTCGTGTAGTGGGAAGGGACTTGGGGGAGGGGAAGGCCTGTGGGGACCCATTTGGAGAAGAAATATCTGCGTGGACCTGGGTGGGGAAGAAAAGCATTCAGGGACCCAAGGGGCAGGGAGCAAAGCAATGGATCTCAGGGAGATGGGGCACGCCT